TGAACGATTAAATTTTTATCGCCTTCGGGCAATGGAAGACAAGGAAAACACAAAAAACGCAACCAATGCTTTTTTAGAGGTGCCCAAAAAACAATTGGAGTAAAGTTAAAAGTATAAAAATCTTTCATATTAATATTTATTCTTTGAAAAATAAATCCATTCAATTGGAAGCATTTTTTGAGGATAAATCCTATGATTTTATTTCTGTAAATGAACACTGGATGAAAAGCAGTGATTTTAATAGACTTCTTCTCTATGGTTATGTTTCACTTTCTAAATTTTGTAGGTCTAACCAAATTTATGGCGGAGTTGCACTTTATGCAAAGAAACATCTGAAAATAAACACCATAAATGAAATAAACAATTTAAGCGAAGAATTGCACTTTGAAATTGCCTCTTTAATCATTGATAAAATATTCATTATATAATAATAATAATAATTTAATAATAATTTATTTATTGCCCAACAGTTTTCACAATAAAGGACATTCAAATAACAAAATTACAGTAGATACAAAAGCAATTAGTAATATACATAAAATAAATAATAAAATTAATATACTTAAATATATAAAGTGGTGTTTAAAAAAAAGTAGACAACGGATAAAAAAACCGCAAACATATAATAAAAAAGAAAATTATTGATAAATATAATAATTAAATGGTTAAAAACATTGTATTATACTCCTCAGACTAGAAAAATTAATATCACAAAGACTTGCTACTTTATTTAAAGTTAGGGACATTTTATATATCGGCGACCTTACTAACATGTTGGTACGTGCCCTTGGACACTTAAATACTAATGTTTGCCTACTATTAGGTCTTGGTACATAAAAATTTAACTGTCCCAGTAAGTCACTACAGTCTATAACATTATGAATTAATTTAAATAAAAAGGTTATGCAGATTTTATCCCTTCTTACACTTAAAGAATCAAAATTAAAGGTATCAAGCAGTACCAAATGATCAAAACCCTAAGGGGGATATACTTCAAACGTTTTGTAACTTAAAAATTTTAGAAATTTACGTTGCACTGATTCAATTGATTGAATGTGGCACAGGTAAATTGGCGACCAAACGATCGAGGCGTACTCCAACTTGCTGCGTACCAATGCATGAAACAACAGCTCAAGGCTCTCAGGCTTAGAAAAGGTTTTGCAATTTCGGATTATAAATCCTAATGTTTTATATGCTGATTTTGTAGTGATAGCGATATGTTCGGTAAAAGTGAGATGCGTGTCAAAATAAACTCCCAAATCCTTCATTACGCTAACTGACTCCAAGCTGACCTTATTTATTTTATAATTAAATATAACTGGATTTACTTTTTTAGTGTATCTACCTATTTTACATTTCGATAAGTTTAAAGTTAATCTGTTTGTTTTACACCATTGACCTAAAATATTAAGATCATCTTGGAGATTGAGACAGTCATTTATAGTAATGACTTGAGCGAATATTTTGAGGTCATCAGCATATAAAAGCTTCAAAGAGTTTAGTTTTGGGGGCAAATCATTGATAAAGATCAAAAACAGCAAGGGACCTAAATTGGATCCTTGTGGAACGCCAGAACTGGACACAAAGTGTTGCGAATTAAAGTTATTATATGAAACAAATTGTTTCCTGTCTATTAAATAGGACTGAAAGAGTTCCACAAGAAAGCTATCTAAACCAAAGCTTCTTAGTTTCTGTAACAATATGCAGTGATCAATCTGATCAAATGCTTTCTGGTAGTCAGTGTATATAACGTCGAGTTGAGAACCTTTATCCATTGTTTCACAAGCATATTGTGTAAATGAAGCCAAGTTGGTTATCGTGGATTTTTTCTCAACAAACCAATGTTAAAAATATAGTTTGGAGTAAATTATCATTTCAAATATTTTAGCGAAGTTACAAAGTATAGAAATTGGTCGATAATTTGTTATACAAGATGGGTCTCCTTTTTTTAACACAGGTACTATTCTTGAAATTTTCCATATGTTCGGAAAGGTTTGACATTTAATTATTTTGTTAAAGATTAGTAAAAGAGGTGAAACAAGGGCACCACAGCAATCTTTTACAAGAAAGCTGGGTATGTTATCTACCCCAGCAGTCATTTTGTTATTAAGTCTGTTAACACAACCAATTATATCACTTTCATTTATGCAATCCAATGTAACGTGGCTAAAACATAAATCTGAATTCACATTAGCCAAAGGAATTGATTCTCACTTTTAAAAAAGTCGGCAAAGCCATTTACTATATCATTAAGAGTTTGAAAATCTTTATCATTGTAGCTTACCCTTCCCGGAATACGCGAAAATCCTTTTTTTGATTTAATATATCACCAAAATGATTTCGGTTCATTTTTTAAATTTGATTCAATTTTATTTATATATTTCTTATAAGATGTTTTTATCTGTTTTTTTACTAATGTTCGCGTGTTTTTGTATATTACCTATTTACCGATCGCCAAATGGCTGTTTTAACATATTTATTGATAAGATAGTAAAAATGTTGGACATATTAAGAAGCACTTACTTTGTCCTATTTGCTGATGACAATAAACAGAAGAGGCATGAATTTTGATGTTCTTGATGAGGAAGACATGGGGGCGCGGCTAGATGTTGAATTGTGGTTTAGGGCAAATAAGCTTTGTCTAAATTCCGAAAAAACTGTTAAAGTTACATTTACACTATAAAATAAAAGCAAGGTTGAACAGAATTGTGTAAAATTCTTAGGGATCCACCTTGATTCAAAGCTTACCTTTATAACACACAGTCAGTATGTAAAACCTTGTCCAAAAAATATTTTTGTTTAGAAAACTAAGAGAGTCTGTTTCCCAAAGTACATTAGTTGTTGCTTATTTTTAACTAGTCCACTCAATTTTAGCATATGGCATTTTAATTTGGGGACACTCTCCTAGAGCCTTTGATGTATTTTCGATACAAAGAAAATTAATAAGAATAATTTGTTATTTAAGTTACAGAGCTGATTGTAGCCAATCTTTTAAAGATTTAAACATTTTAACTGTCCCCTGGGGCCCGTTTCACGAAAATTACAAAGTCACAATTTTACTATTACAGGTACTTGCAATAACAAATCTGCAAGTACAGGTGTTCCGCAAATTTTTTTAACAATAGTTAAAATATTTTCACAATTGTAAATATATCTTCACACTTGTGAAAAATATTTTCAGAATAATTGTGGAAAAATACACATGTTAGTAAGGTTAAGCCACTTAATTTTGACGCGTGATTGTAAGTTTTAATAATGTCCTTAAAGAAGGAAGAAAAGATGCAATTTTTGCACGATGTGCTATCTTCGAAGAAAGTTTTGTTTGGGAGTTTCTCAGACAAACTGACTAAGGAGGACAAAGTGAAAGCATGAAAGACCATCCATGAGAAAGCCGTAGCGCTAGGACTTGTGTCAGCTAACAAGGTTTTTAGCTACACCAGAGATGTATATTGGCAAAACCTCAAAAAATACACAAATAACCTTTATTGTTTAGTTCAACCTTTTCAAAGTTATGGTCATCACCCGGCCAGATATTTTTTTCTATAAATACTCCTGATTATTATTAAAATGGGATTCCCATAAAAAAATAAAATTATATATCTGGACACCCAGTGGTGCTCAGTTTAGCGTTTAGCTGTAAATTTATCTTCCCAATTGTTATCATTTGTATAAATAGCCAATGGAGAGCTGCACACAATTGAACTCTTTCTGACAGGGCCTCACTTCTTCTTGTGGCATGTGCCCTATGTCTGCAAAAAGAGATTCCATGCTGACTGATTACATTCGAAATCTCTCATTGAACTCGTAAAAGGTGACAAAATTTAAATTTGTTCTTAACCTAAACGTCCGAGGTCTTCGATGACTGCGTGGTTGTAAAGTAATTCATCTTCAGAGGATGATGACAATACCTAAAACTACAAGAGTAATTCTATAAAAACGTTACTTGTAAGTAGTGAAAATTCGCTGGTTGTTACTTTGTCTTTGTGAAACACCACTAACACACTTCTGATTTATTACATCACGGGCCCCTGTCAATATTTATTAAAATCTTTGTTGTATGTGAAAACAAATTTAAATGCCTATACTACATAAAACAACCTACACCATCATGGAACAAGAACTGCTAATAATATATGTATAGAATTTCATAGGATTGATAGATCCAGAAATGCTTCTAATTAATATGCACCTAATTTTTATAATAGACTTCCTAATAAAATAAAGTTAACTTTGAAAAAATTTAAGATACGTCTAAAGAAATTTGTAATAATAAAAACGTTTTATGACATAAACGAATTTTTAAAAAACGATTTGTCTTCTATGTGATTTAAAAAAAAATAATGTTGTATTATAAATATTCTTTCTGTAAAGTTTTATTTTTTAAGTCTAGTTTTAATCAACAATTTTAAGTATTTATTTTATTTCTAAATTTTGTGTTATATTTTCTTTCTTTAAATCTTGAAAGTTTTTAGTTTGTAATTTTTTTGTTCTGACCTGTGTAAATGTATCTGCGCATGTTAACATAAATAAAGATTATTATAATATGAATACCGGAATATTCTAATCTTAAACCTACATTTAAATGCTATTTGCTCAATACTATTTGGTTCAGATTAAACTTTAGATTAACTGGACAACATGTAATTTAAGAAGAGCTCTTCTAATACTGGAAACGGGAAACCTGGTCCACTTTCAAGCGCCTTTAAGAAGAGACAAGGTGGCAATTTATGAAGCATCCCTAAGTGAACAGAATCACATGCCTTTTAAAAATAACGTCATTGGACGCTTTAAATTTCTTGAATCCACTGATAAAGAACGGTCTATTTGCTATGGAGCTACAAGCCCTATGTAGCAAAACATTTAACTTTCTGCATATATGTGATTAAGCTATTTGTGCCAAACTAGCAAACCTTCTAAAAGACTATGAGCGATGCAGAAAGAAACAAAACTTGGATTCATTGAACGAACTATTTAACGTAACCAATGTGAAAGGCGAATGGATGTGCAAAGAGGATGAGAACCTCTACAAACTGCAAATTGAGAGAAAGGGCCAGGTTGGTTATTCCACTTGCCTACCTGCTAGTGTCAAGACCTTTCACTCATCAAAGAGAAGGAAGATAATGGAAGCTGTGTCCACGCTCTACACTTACCACCTCAGAGCCATTGTTCCGAAATTAGCATGGACTCATCCGACAACAGTGCGAGTTAGACCTAGACTCCAGGTTTTTGGATCAGCTTTTATCCAAAGCGCAACAATGAAAACTGCTTTTAATGGATTCCAATCTACAGGAATATGGCCAACTGACTCATCAATATTTACTCCCAGCACTGATATTGGACTTGGCAGACCTGCAAGTGAAGAGGTCGTGCCTGAAGCTGAACAACTGGAATTGCCTTCATATAGCCCACCAGTCGAAAAAGACATGCCTCTCAGGTTGGATGAAGAAGCTGGCGAGGATTTAACAAACTCTAATGATGACACACCGGCAAAGAAAATCCGATTTGATGAGGATAGTGCCACTCCTGGGTGCTCTTGGATGTCAACTGACATCATGTCCTCTTCACTTCATGTTTCACCAAAAATTCTAATGCCTATTCCAAAAGTTAAAAAAAGCGTGAAAAGGACCAATCGGAAGAGGGAAAAGACTGCAGTCTTAACGGATCCACCATACAAAAAAGAGTTAGAAACCGCTATTCAGGAAAAAGCGAAAATGAACTTAGCTAAGGAAGAAAGAGCAAGGACAAAACTGGAAAAGAGTAAAAATAAGAAAAATAAGACTGAAAAAAATAAAGGAAAGTACCTGAAGACGAATGGAAAAAAGAAGGACCCGAAGAGAGAATGCAAAATTAACGAAAGCGATTCTGAGGATTTCTCTGACTGTGAATGTTTGTATTGTGGTAAATTTTATTCAAAGTCAATTGATGGTTGGGTCGCCTGTTCTGTGTGCAATAAATGGGCACACAATTTCTGTGCGGGAATTGATAGCGAGGATGATTAGGCTGTTCTTTGTGTGAATTTTGTGAATCGGATTAAGAAAAGGAGAAAATCAATGAAAACCTTTGTAGTCACTTGTAGTTAAAATGTATCGTATTGTATTAAAACTAATAAAATATATAACAAACTAAGTTTGTCTGCAGAATGGGGCAAATTACATAACTTTCTAGTTTATTTAAAAAAAAGTTTTTCCCCTATTTTTTGTACAGTTTTATTGTATTTTTATGATCATTACATTATAATGTTATCATGGAAAATCTTTCAGCTTTCCGAATTAACCCTTTAAAACTTTTAAAAGGTATTTTCAACTTAGTACCCCGTTGTGGTCCGGGTTCCCCTATTGGTATACCCAAAATCCACCGGCCGCCACTGGTGTGGGTCCCATGTCTACTAAGATATCGGTATACCCAAAATCCACAATCCGCCACTGATACACACAACTTTTGATGTTAAAACACAGATAGTGTATACATGTATGTATACGTCACAGAAACATAAAAGAGTGGATATAAAAAACATATGTTATAATGTAATTTAAAACTAGATACGGCCACCGTCCTTTAAAAAGGTCGCTTCAAAAACATGTAATTATTTACTGCTTTTACGTCTAAGGTTTAGATGGCGCCACGAATTCTGGTTTGTCAAATATTTAGCACATGTTTGCAGCAAGTGTAGTAGACGTTTATTTGTTTTCGTTCAGAATTAGTGGTGTTTACATTTCCAGTGTTTTATTTTGTGAGGCTATGAGTAATCTAAGGTAAGATATCAATCATTATTTCATAAAATTGAATTGACTAGCCAAGTAAAAACTAATTAGTGAAAGCCTAACTTTAGGATATAAATATATAAAAAAGGTTATGCTGGTCGTGGGTTTTGAAATAAGCTTATAAAAGTTTGTGTCCTTTTAAAAGGTCAGTGGTATAATGTACTGTTTTTCAGTTATTGGAAAAAACCGCTCACCCTTAACGAGTTATTGGAGGAAGTGGAATATATTGATGATGAAAATAGATTTCCAGACGCAGTTGTACTTTTTCCGCCAATCAACGCCAATGATTATGTCACTTATGAAGACTCTGGTGATGATGAAAATGTCGTCATGGATAATTTACCGGGATCCGTTTTGAATTCTCAAGCTGAGGTTACGTTTAGAACCGACAGCCAAATCAACATTTTACCGTCAGATACCTAGTGATAGTGATGATAATGTTCCGTTAGCACAGTTTTGTTAATACAAAAAAAACAAAAAAAGAATGATTTGGTTCAAGAAGACATTGTGCGTAAACTACCAGACTGGCAAAAAGAGCTTGGGGCGAAAAATCAACGAACACCTTTAGAGATCTTTTATCTTTTTTTTTTGACAAATATTTATGGCAAATGATTACAGACTATACTAACCTATATGCGATCCAACACAACAGACTGTGGACGAAATAAAATGTTTTTTTGGGGTGCTTATTTATAGTTAGGGATGGGATTTTAGTTATTTTACCTTTTTTCAACCGATGTAACTATTTGAAAACCAATAATGCCAAAATGTTTTTTAAAAGATTTTCTTTTATATGAACCTAACTTGTTTTTACCTTTTTTACCTTTTTTGGAGGTTTTTGCTTTAAACTACTGTCTGTCCACTCTAAGTTGGCGGAACTAAGGAATTTTGTAGTTTAGATATTTAAGAATTGTCGTACTGTGTGCTTTTAAAACAGATTTTATATTATAAATAATACTAGTAAATATTATATACTAGTATTATTTATAATATAAAATCTGTTTTAAAAGCACACAGTACGACAATTCTTTAATATCTAAACAACAAAATTCCTTAGTTCAGCCAACTTAGAGTGGACAGACAATACCTTTTTATACTTTTGTTACCTATTTTTTTATCTTGTTTTCACCTTTTTTACCTTTTTGGAGGTTTTTGCTTTAAACTACCTTTTTATACTTTTGTTACATATTTTTTAATTTGTCAGTTTATTTTCACCTATTTGTTACCTATTTTTACGTAGGTATTTATACTTATTTTATTTTGTTGTGTTTTTTTTAATTTTGCGCCAATATTTTATTCAGGCGTGCAACTCAACGGTATAGAATTTTTTCTTATGGTCACAGACTGTAACAGTAACTTTCTTTACAGTTACCTTCTTTGTAGTGAGCTTATGTTCTGTCATAGAACTTCTGTGTAGTGAGTGTCACTTAGCGAAACATAGTTTATTGCATAGAAATAGTTTATTGTGGGTATGTTCTGTGTTTGGTTATGCGGCTAAACAAAATTATAAACAAAACTTGAACTTTTGTTTTTTTTACCTAAAATGCTGTTTTTTAACCTAAAACGCTTTTTTTTAGTACCTTTTTAGTTACCTATTTTTCAGTTTTTAGTACCTAAATATCCTATCTTTATTTATAGTGGTTACACCAGTGTTTCAAGACGATCCTTGTATTGGGAGAGCTCTTCCGATGCCAATCATGTGATTATAACAGAAGCCATTTTAAGAAACCGTTTCAACTACGTCTTGCAAAATTTGCATTGTAATGACAACAGTGACTTGGTAATGAATGAAAATTTTCAAAAATCAGACCCTTTTTGATACATCTAAATCCAAAATTCATAGAACATGCCCCATTACAAGAAAATCATATCATCGACGAATCAATGATCCCATATTTTGGAAGACATGGTTCGAAGCAATTTATTAGGGGTCAACCGATAAGATGGGGGTACAAGTTTTGGATGGGTACAAACCAAAAAGGCTATCTAGAATGGTTCGAACCATATCAAGGCGATACCACTGTTTTAGACGAAAGATACTAGGATATGGGATTAGGTGCCACCGTTGTTCTCACTTTTGCGGATAAAATTATTTCAGAAAAAGGCCGATTACCTTTTCACTTTTTTTTCGACAATTTTTTCACCTCATGGGATTTGGTCAGAATACTTCGAGACAGAGGAATAAAGGCTACCGGTACTGTCAGGAAAAATAGGATACCTGTACCCATAATAAAGAGTGCACAACATTTAAAAAAACAAGAAAGAGGAACTTATGAATATGCAACAGAAAAAAGTGAAAACATCGTCATCTGTCGTTGGAGTGACAATAACATTGTGACCATTTGTTCAAATAGTGAAGCAGTTCTACCAACAGTAAATGTCCATAGGTTTTCAAAAAAAGAAAAAAAGAAAGTTGCTGTCCCTCAACCACAGCTGATAAAAAAATATAATCAAAATATGGGGGAGTTGATCGTGCTGATCAAAACATAAGCTTGTACCGCGTAAGCGTAAGCGGTAAAAAGTGGTATTTTTCCTGTCTTAACCAAGGATTGGATATGGCAATAAATAACTCATGGAATCTTCATCGTCTGAAAGGTGGTAAAAACGACCAGTATACTTTTCGTCGGGCGCTTGCAATGGGTATATTAGAAACTCATAAGAAAACTACAAAACGTGGACCTGTGCGTGCAAGTGCTCATGATAAGGAACATTCAAGGTATGATGGGGGAGACCATTTAGTTGTGTACCAAGAGAACCAGATCAGGTGTAGGAAATGTCACAAGAAAGTTCAATTCCGCTGTAGCAAAGTTGATGTAGGGCTTCACCCAAAATACAAATTAGTTTATTTATATAGTTACTAAAATAAAATAAAATTTATATATCTACAAAACGTTACCAATTATTTTATAATTACTAATAACTAATTTGTATAAAGGACGGTGACTACTACAAAAACTGTTGAGAAATCTAAAAAAAAAAATTTGTAAAACTTCCTCAGAAATGTATCCATAAACTAACCTAAGACAAAAAAAATATTTTCAAAAAAAAAATAGTTTCGGTCGTATCTGGGCTAATATATGTTAAAAACTTATAAAATGTATAGAAAGCGTTTCTTTGCAGAAGGTTCTTGACCTCATTTTTAAAGCGTTTATTGATAAAGTATAAATTTCTTCCAGTAGGCAGTTAAAAAATTTAATTGCCCAGTAATTTGAACCATTTTGACATATTTTTAAGCGGTAATTGTTAAGTACACGATTGTTGTTGGATCTCGTATTGTAGCCGTGAAAATCACTATTTAAGACAAAAACAGATTTCTTTTAACACATAGTATATTTTCCAGGATATACCAACAGAGGCATGTCAGTATACCCAATGAGATAAAAGCATTCCTACATCTTCATAGCTCAATTCTTCCAATATTCTTATTGCATTTCTGTGCAAATTAGAAAATCTTTCGGCTTCGGCTGCATGACCCCCGGCAAGAATTGTATAAGAAAGGCAATACTGAAAATTATCAAAATACACTGAGTTTAGCAATTTTATCATGGAAAATCTTTCAGCTTCCCAAATTAACCCTTTAGAACTTTTAAAAGGTATTTTCAACTTAGTACCCCGTTGTGCTCCGGGTTCCCCTATTGGTATACCCAAAATCCACCGGCCACTGGTGTGGGTCCCATGTCTACTAACTAAGATATCGTTATACCCACAATTGTGGGTATACCCAAAATCCACAATCCGCCACTGATACACACAACATATTGGTATGTTGTGTAGATATGAATAAGAATAATAATACTTTATTGATGTTAAAAACACAGATAGTGTATACATACGTCACAGAAATATAAAAAAGTGTATATAAAAAACATATGTTATAATGTAATTTAAGACATACAATAATTAGGTACATTTATTTAAATATAGGTTAAAAACTCATTAAATGTATAGAAAGCGTTTCTTTGCAGCAGGTTCTTGACCTCATTTTTTAAAGCGTTTATTGATAAAGTATTAATTTCTTCCAGTGGGTAGTTAAAAAATGTAATTGCCCAGTAATTTGGACCATTTTGACATATTTTTAAGCGATTTTTGTTGGATCTCGTGTTGTAGCCGTGAAAATCACTATTTAAGACAAAAACATTCAGATTTCTTTTAACATATAGTATATTTTCCAGGATATACAAACAGGGGCATGTCAGTATACCCAATGAGATAAAAGCATTCCTACAGTCATCTCTATA